ACACCATCAAACATTGTTTGGTGACCAAACATTTTACCGTTTGGCCACCTTGTTTGGTGCTGTCTGATCGTGTTTGATCGTGTTTGGTCTTGTTTGATCAAATTTGAAGACCATCAAACATTCGATGAAACAACTTAAAACATTTCTTTTGTTCTCGTGTTTGATGGGTGCTGTTTTGTTCGTTTGGACAGCCGTATTAAACATGTTTGGCGCGCGCACGCGTACCACGCGTGCTCAGCTGCTTGTATCCATAGTTTGATCTGTGTTTGATCAAACATGTTTTAACCGTTTGGCCACTCACTTCAACATCAGCATGTTTGGTTGCCAAACATTTCCCGTTTGGACAGGCCTTTAAACGTAGTCTGTCGTTCTAATAAAGTATTAAACGTGGGTTTACATTACCGGTAACGTTTGATTTAAATTCTGTTGTAATCAATCAAATTTGAAATTCACTATCCTACAACTAAAAAGACAAGTGGACTGAAAATGACTTTTGTCACTTTTGTTTTGTCCGATATTTATCATAAGGAATGATGATTACGACATTTCCATTGAGACAGTAATCGAGAGGTCATTTTCAATGTCGAGGAATTTGCATTACGTTATAATATACTCATCCATAGTCTGAGAACCGCTAAAGCAGCTCTCTGTTGTTAATTAAGATTAAAGGAAAACTTTTGATGGCGAGAACGACAAGCACAAGTTATTGTCTACACTAGTACCTAATGATAGCCCTGTTGTGTCATAGCGTGTGCCATTGCTTACTCGTCTGTGTAAACATGAATACATATAAACGATCTTTCCTGCAACAAGCGGGGGCTGGCACCGATGAATACATCATTAATTCGCCTCGATTAGTTTCTAAAACGTCTAGAGCGTGCTTCATTATACGCGATAATTGGGTTTTAGGTGTTAGAGGATCCCCGGGAGAGGATCCAAGTCAGACCCGTTAAAAGCGTGACATGTCCGAATTCTGACGACTCGTTGCGAATGATGGCGAACGCCACAGAAACGCATCAAAGTAACTTAACTTGTATTTTAGATGACAAAGCCCGACAAAGAGATAATAGCACATCTAAAGATGAAAAAGTTTCTTTGTAAAATAATTCTAGAAGACATTTTAATATCTAAAGACCTACATTAAGTCTGTATTTAATTCGATCAAAATGTCGGTTGCAATTGCAGGATTCAGTATTAGTCTAACGCTATGTCTGACACTGCATGAACAGATAGCATTGACAGAAATCATATAATACACGCTGAATATTTTGAAACTTCTCACCTTAAAGTTTAACTTTCCACCTCCTCTGTAAGCTCCGATCAAATTTACAGTTAGAAATTAACGTCCTGAATACTGCAAACCCGAACGTCTGAGCATGTTGGACATCTCCAACGGCGGAAGTGATTTTTTCGCGTGGCTCTGGGAACGAGAGTGGGTCCGAGTCCTAATCGGCGGTTCAACGAAGGTGTTGAGGAAAATTAGGCTTTGCTCTGGGGTGGAGGGTGAAAGCTTTTCACCTACGAGAATTATATCGCACTCTGAATGCGTCAGTTCCGACCACATATTGAGTACTTTCCGACCCTGGAGATATAAGACACGCTAGCGGTGGAGCTGTAAAATGGAGTTCCCTCGGGAAATACAACAGGACCTGATTAAGTTAAAACCATCTACGAAGCAATTTTTTCTTTGTCGTTGAGGTTCGAGCCCTGGCCGGGGACATTGTGTTGTGTTCTTGGGCAAGACACTTTACTCTCACAGTGCCTCT